TCTTGGGTCCCAAACTCTCATAATAGCAACTCTGGTGGCAGCAGTGGTGACTGTTTACTAAGCATGGCCTGGAGGCAGGCACTGCCGCAGTACCTGACACACACCCCCATTCACCCTGGTAAATGTGCTAATGTTCCCATATACCAGTTATGCTAATGTTCCCATATACCAGTTATGGAAGCTAAAGCAGAGAGGGTCAGTGACTAGCCCAAGGGCTAACAGCTAGTAGATTTGGTTCCAGGCAGGCAGGTGGACCTCAGAGCCCACATTTGTGTCATGGTGCCCTAGGATGAAGCAGAGACTCCACCATCACTCTGCCTCTAGGTGGGTTAGAGGGGCTGACCTCTGTAGATTCAGTCTGGGGGTGGGGGTGGGTTTGCTTGTGGAGGGTCCTGGCAAGGTCCCTTGCTAGGACAATACTTGACCAAACCCAAACTAGCTCTTATTTTGTTGCTGGAGCTTCTGAAAGAAGAGAGCCCCAAACCTCTCTGTGCAGAGTTAGAGACAGGGCTGGCTGAGGGTGTCCAGGGCATGCCCCCAGCGTGAGTCCTCATGTGCCTGTCTCTCCTCGTCTGTACAATGAAGGTGATGGAGGGGGCTGTTAGGATTCCCTAGGGGGTGGGGGTGGAAGAGTGACATATCTGCACAGGGATTCTCACAGGTACCTGTCCCTCCCACACCCCGACCCTGTGGAGGCAGATGGGGGAGCTAGGCTTGGGTCCTCTGGTTTCAGCGGGGTGCGAAGTCTGAAGTGTTTTACACGTGTGAAAGCTAGGTGCAATCTCAAGAGAAGGACCCTTACTTTTGCCTTTGGTCCTGGGGTTCCCCTAGCAGGAGGCGCTGAGCCACCCCTGGGGAGGGGAGGGGAACTGGGTACTCTCTGGGGTGGGGGCCAGGGAACAGATATCTGGGCATCTAGACTTGGGGAAAAGTAAAGTCTGGAGCAAAGGTCAGACTGCCCTCAGGTTTGAGAAACTGCCCCTGCCTTCAACTTCTTTCCAATGTGTGTGTGTGTGTGTGTGGGGGGGGGCGCCCCGACTTGACTTGGCAGTCTTGCAGCAGCGATCAAGCAGCGAAGCTCAGTACCCACTGCTCCACAGGGCACATGCCTCTGAGGGCCGGTTCACCTCCCCATCCGAGTCCACTCCCTGTCCACCACCAACGGTTGGGCTCCCAGGCCGCCAGCGTCTTCGCCAAGAGTTGGCAGGTCCGACGCCCGCTGTGCCGCGAAGTTCAAACGTTCGCCCTGGAACAGGCGAGAGACCCGGCTTCAGCCCAGAGCTAGGGGACAGGCCAGGGCTTGCCTGCTGGTCAGCGACCTGGAGCCCGGGCATCCTGCCGGCCGGCGCCCCTCCAATCGTACCGGCCTCGGGCACAGGGAGGCCAGGACCGCAGGCGAGGCCCGGCGGCGTGGAGAGCGGACTCCGCTGCCGTCTGTGCAACGTCGCTGAGGGACCCTTGGGGGGCAGAGCGGGGAGGGGCACAGCTCGGAAGCTGCCCGGTGTCCGGAGCTGCTCGAGGGCCCTTCGTTGGGTGGGCAGTCACGGCTCTGCGCTCGCTCGGGCCCCAGAGCCAGTGCAGGATCAGCCCCC